TGTGAATTAATATTTATTGAGAATGCACAGGGTGCCTGCTGCTGTGCTTGTCTCTTTATAACAGCTCCATCCATTGAGAACTGCTCTGCAGACTCACAGCCTTCCCCCCAGTTAATTTAGGAGCAGCTGCAGTCCTCACAAAGTGAAAACCTAATGTCCTTTAGGGCTTCAGCGGAACCAAATTCATTTTTCACCCCTATAAATTAACTAGCTTCTCGCTGTGGGGTCTCTATGATTATTACTCTTTTAATAATTAATACAGTATCATCCTTCATGAAGAATATGTTTATAATAGATTTATTAGGTTGTTTTTGCCCAAGAATAAGAGAGCAGCGTATGGTTATTTGAATTTCCCTTCTGGTCCACTTAATTTCTTCCTTGCTTTGGTAATTTAAATATTTAAGCTGGTTGCTTCTTATTAGATTAATTGAGATATTTTGTAATTAATTCTGCAGAGGACAGAAATATTTTTTCTTTTCATGTTTATAATTAAAAATGGTAAACAAAAATAAAAGATCTCAAAACCAATCTGATATAAAAAAATCTTAGTGGAAACGTTTTTCTTTTCCTCATTCGTGCATGGAGGTAGGAATTATCATATGTTGTAGCACCGAACTTTTTTTATGGCAAGCCCTTGCTATATATGAGTTATCTTCATTTGTGTTTCACTTAGATTGTGATAGTTTATATTCCTAGGATACGGAAGTTTTGAGCCTGGAGAAACTTAGAATTTGATTGAACAGATATCTATAAGTTAGGATTTTTCCAAGCTAGGTTTGAGGCCTCTGAATCTGCAGGATTGGGCATGAAATCTGTGGAAATGGATTTTCTAATGAAAACTTTGGCACTTCTAATCATTACCAGTAATAACTAGTAGGGAATTAAGAAGTATGAGTTTCTAATTTGATTTCTTTATTTATATATTGACACATAAAAGGGTGCTATTTTGGAGTTTCTGGAAGAGATCAAGTTTGATGAAAATGCAAGGTAAAAGAAACAACAACAAACAAAAGAAAGACCAGAAATTCACATGTGTTTCTTTTTCCAAATGTGTTTGGAAATGTGAGAAGGGCCCAAAGAGAGCGACTCTTATCTCCCTAAAGTCCCACTCATAGCTCCTATACACACAGGTCCTAGAGTATACTAGTAAGCAGTATGTACTCAGTGCTTGACATTTTTAGGGCTTTTGCCTCCTTCAAATTAAAGTTCAATTTTAGTATGAGGGAAAACCTGAATAACCTGCTAAAATAGCACCCCTACCTGCCTTCTCTAATTAAAAAATTTAGAGTTGAATATAAAAGTGGCCTGGGAAAAATCAGTTTCCTTGACTCTGATTTTAAACTGGATCCAAAATCTTAGAAATGAATGTCTTACAATAAACACTCTCCAGGAGTGATTTGTGATGTAACTGAACTGTGTTATACAATTTAAGGGGAAGGAAGGAGAAATAGAAGTGAATATATTATATAAACCATATCATCCTGCCTGTGATTTTTAATGAGGTTAAGCGCTATTATTATAAGCAAAATCAGGTAGCTTTTTCCTCCATAAATTTTAAGAAATGTAATCCTGAAGTTTATTACCATTTGTCTTTGTAGCTACTTTTATACCTACAGTTTAATAGTGCCACATTTGACAAGCATACCATTGCCAGAGGGTTCTTCCAAATGTATATATCGATGTATAAATTTGGGAATCTAATAACTAAACTAAAATAGATATTTCTTTATATTAGTTTCCCATGGCTACTGTAGCACATTACTACAAACATGAGGGCTTAAAACAACACACATTTATTGTCTTGAGACCTGGAGGTCAGAAGTCTGCAATGGGTTTCAATGGGCTAAATCAAGGTGCTGTCAGGGCTTTGTTCTTTCTGTAGGCCCTGGGGGAGGATGAATTTCCTTGTCTTTTCCAGCTTCCAGAGGCTGCCCACATCCCTTGGCTCATGGCACTTTCCTCCATCTTCAAAGCCAACAATGGCCAGTTGAGTCTTTCTCACATTGCCTCACTCTGACATTGACCCTCCTGCCTCTCTCTTTCACTTATAAGGACCCTTAAGATTACATCGGGCCCCCTGAAATAATACCAGATCACTCCCCCAACCTCCAGGTCAGCTGATTAGCAACCTTAATTCTGTCTGTGACCTTAGTTCTCCCTAGTGACATACACATTCACAGGTCCCAGGAATCAGGACGTGCGCATCTTTTAGGGGGCATTATTCTGCTTACCTCATTATCTGACCTAAATTTTAACATGATTATGTTGGGTGATAACCTTGACAGTTTACTGAAGGGCGGCAAGTGTAGAAGCAGGAAGATGAGATAGGAAGCCAGTGCAGGAAGCCATGTGAGATAAAGTGGTGGATTAGACAAGGATGGTAATAGCAGTGGAGGTAGTAAGAAGTAAGAGGATCCTGGATATGTTTTCAAGGTGATTTGCTGACCGGTTAGATGTAAGATGTGAGAGAAAGAGAAGAGTTGTGTGGATGGTCCAAAATTTTTGGCCTATGCATTAGGGAAAAATAAGCTGCCGTTAATAAAAATGGGAAAAAAAAAACCTGCTCGAAGAGTAGGTTTAAGGCTTCAGTGTTCAGTTAATGGAAAGCTGGGAATGCCTCCTCTCCTAACTAGAGAAACAGCATTTTCAGGTAGTGATTCTTGTCCGGCAGATCTGTCGCCTAGCAGGGCTGAGATAGAGGCTTTATGGGAATTTTTACCAAGGTACTGAAGATTGTATTTATTTGCTATCCTCTACTTCCCTTCTCCTGTTCATGGGGGTGGAGACAGGAGGAGTGATGTCTTTTTAATAACAACTTCTAGAATATCTGAATTGTCAAGAAGCTGGATTTACTGGGTAAGGATTGAGAGGGTGGTAAAGAAAAGAGAACACTTTTGCCTTTGTGATGACCTCTATTATTCCAGTGATTTATGACCTACTGGACCAGAGAGGATGTTGTAACCTCTTAACATATTACTGAAACTGCTTTGCATGATGGTCTTGTCATGCAAACACAGACAACCTGGAATGCCTGTGTCAACACTTACTTGCAGAAAACTTAAGATTTGGGAGTGTCCTCCAGTATTGAGCCCCTGGGGAGCATCTTTTTTTTGTAGGGATTCCAGATACTTCCAACCAAAAGTAGTCCCGAGTGACAATTCCATATTATTATTGGGCTGTTACTTCTTGTTTCTTGTATTTGAAGATTCTTTTCAAAGACCTCCTGACAGTAGATTATTTAGTTATTCCAGTGGTTTTTGCAGCCAAAGAGGCCTTGTGGAACTTGAAAAAACAATACTTAATGTACATTAGGAGAGGTTATTATGTTCCAGGTGTTATATTAAACACTTTCATGCCTTATTTTATTTAATTCTTAGAACAAACGGAGGAAATTGTAGGGATTATTTTGGTTACATTTACAGATGGAGTAATTGAAGCTAAGAAATGGTATTTACAGATAGGGAATCATGGTCTGGAGTTCCAGCATAGGCAGTCTGACTATAGAAACTGTGCTTCTCACTGCTGTACCATATTTCCTCCCCCAATTGATCCCTGCCATCTATTCGTGATTGAAATTGTGTGATTGCTGTTAACTTGTCCCTGAAAGGTCTCATAGCTAGCTTTCTGCTCCTCTGTGTGTACTTCTAAAGAAAGCTAAACCTAGCAGAACCCAGCCCTCTAAGAGGGAAAGGAACTCCTGGCCGAAAGGGCCATCTTTGATCCTGCTGCTAGTTAGTATCTAAGGCTCCCGACACCTGGTAATGGTCCAGAATTGAGCACCACCACAGCCTTCAGCATCCCCACATCACCAAGTAATTTCGTTCTTGCTTCAGTTCCTGTTGAACACCTGACTGCAGTAGTCCTACTCTTTCCAAAGACCCTTTGACCTGAGAACTGTGCAGCCACCATCCTATCACTGATCCCTCTTCATGTAGCAGCACCAGCAAACTGACTGCTCACCCTGACATAACTTGATATCTGCTGAATCAACCCTGATTTTGTTTGGGAGCAGGCTTCCTTGTGTATGACTTGACTGTGAGCTTCATGAGGACATGGATTATGTCTGTTTTGTTCACTGTGGTCCCTAGCACCAAGCGAAGTGTTAGGTACTAAGTAAATGCTTGTTGAATGATCAGACTGTGCACAACCATGTGTATATGCCTTACGGACAGGCTCAGGTGTCTGTGCTCTAGTAATGCTCTTAGGCTGTTGTCAGTGCCACTAGACACCGCAGAGGAATGGCCAAGCAACTACATGGGCTCCCCTACTTATCCAGAAATGGCCATCCTGCACCCACTCCATGGGAAAAGTTTGGATTGAATGCTACAGCCCATAAAGCCTAGTCCTTGTCCTGGCCAGAGGCAGGTACTTCGGGAGATGGAAGGTTGTGGACTAATGGCAACCACTCTTAAGGAGATGCTCCACATACAGGAGATTTTAAGCACTAACTTAGAGTGAAAACTATTTTCTTTGAAAAAGTTAGTGAAACCATCGAATTTCCGTCTGCCACCACTTCACATTTCTCTGAGGTCTTGGGGTCCACTCAGTGGACTGGAACCCTTCCCTACTACATTCTCTGTTTTCAGGTAACATGGAATTTATCTTGTTCTATCTTTGCCTCCCAAAAAATAAACAGAATTCTGTGTTTTTGTGCATATTTTTATAGTATGCCCTGAATTGCATCTTTATCCAGGTCTCTCTTGTGCTGCATACAGGAAGAGTGTTTATACAGAATTTCAGGGGTATCTCACCCTTGGTTCCCTTGCCCTGCACACATACACATCAACCTGTTCTGTGGGGTTAGGTTACACTGGCCAGTAGAAAAGTGATGCAAAATCAATTAAAAAAAAACTCTCTGCAGTGTGATACCTCCTTTAATTTGTTGCTGAAACTGTTACCATAAACTGTTAGCAAATACAGAATTCTTCATTTTGTTCAAGCACAAGCAAATATAAGTATCCAGTGCTAAACAGTTCCTGGTTTCTTTTTTGTTTTTCCAGGCAAGAAAACTGATCAGTGATTTTGCCATTATCTTGTCCATTCTCATCTTTTGTGTAATAGATGCCCTGGTAGGTGTGGATACTCCAAAACTAATTGTGCCAAGCGAGTTCAAGGTAGGTGAACTGTCTTTTGGTCATTCCTGGAACTCTTTGGCTTTCTTTTCTTTTCTCTATTCTCGGTTGTCATATTTCTCTTTGAGTTAGTTTTGTACAATTATCCATTTCTTTATTTCAAAGAAGTCCCCTTGCTAGGTGCATACATATGTTCTGTCTATTTCTTCACTAAAATGAAATGCTTGACTTGGATCAAATGTAACGGTCACATTATATTGATTTTCATAGAAAAATACCTTATAGTAACATTAAAATATCTGGTTTATATTTTTAGGATATTTTAAAATATCCAAAGTATTTTCGTACAGCTTACCACTTTGATCCACGTAATTCTAGGATGCACCATATCATCATTTTTATTTTATAATGTTGAGATTAAGGCTCATAAAATTAAGTAAAATGCCCATGATTACATTACTAATTCAGTGCTCTTTTTCTGCTACAAACTACCTGCCATATACACACACATTTATATATAATGTGCATTTTAATTATTATAAAGAAAATATAAGAGTTATTCATTTTATAAACCTGTTAGTATGCGCAGGCCTAATGGCTACATTTATATTTTAGTCATTTTAAAATATCTGTACCTAACTTTCCATTATAAGTTTTTCACCCATTTCCTAGAACAATCCTAACCTCTCTCTCCATCATGGAGAACATATACTGGCTAAGGAACATTAACTGTAGTTTTGACTTAACTACTCAGCGAGGAAGGGATATCTATGTTATAGCAAGCAGAATACTGTTTGCATTATCTCTGCCATCACATATTCATTAACAAAGATCAAGTTCATTCAATCATTAATTCATTTAAGCCAATATTTACTGAATGTTTGCTTTGAACCAGGCCCTATACTGGGAATTTGAAATGCATTGATGAGCAAGATAAGGTTCCTTCCCTTACAAGCTTACAACCTGGTAAAGGTAGTAAAATGTGGATAGATTCAATGATGGAGTTATGAGCAAAGTAACATGGAAGACACAAATATCTTCAGAGAAGTGAAACTTTCTCCATGGTAAATATGGAGAAAATCATTCATAAATAGGAATCTATTTTAGTTTATGTGCATTGTTTAAAGTTAGGACCAAGATAGGAAATATTCTTTTCTGTAGTAGAGATGTGTCATCTGCTGATAGAGGAATAGATGGAGAACTGGAAAAATGGCCATATTTTTTATTTTCTGTGATGTTTCTGAAGATATACCCAGTTAGTCTGGGTTATTTTTTATATAGAAAATAAGAAAGACCAGCGTGTTCAAATACATTCAGTTATAACATGTAAAAATATTTGTAGCTTTTTATATATTATGAAACTATTACAATTTGGCAGTAGTAAAGACAACGCCAGTATAATTGCTAAAACCTATGAACATGAAAAAGTTCATGGTGGTTTTGTTATTTCTTGCCTGCCTCTTTACTGAATCTGGTGTTTTCTTATGGCTGACCCTTAAATAAGTCATTTCCTTCCAAGTTGAGAATCCTTAGGTGATTATAAATGCACAAAATGGCATTTACTTATTTTCTACCAGCCTATATTCTTAGTCTCTTTCATTTAAAATATTGCCTTAAAAATAATCTTTGTTAGGAAATTTTTGGTGAATAATCTTCTTTGACCGACTTGTCAGTAAGACTATTTCCACTTTTCAATATGTTTGCCCTCCAATAATAAAAGTGTGTCTCCCCCATTGATTTTGCACCAAGTAGTATGTATTAATATTGTTTGTTTTTTCTCTTTTTCAAGCCAACAAGTCCAAACCGCGGTTGGTTTGTTCCACCATTTGGAGGAAACCCCTGGTGGGTGTACCTTGCAGCTGCTATCCCTGCTTTGTTGGTTACCATTCTGATTTTCATGGACCAGCAAATCACAGCTGTGATTGTAAACAGGAAAGAACATAAACTCAAGGTAAATGCTCATAATAATGATTATCATTGCCTTCTGCTTTCTTTGCGGAACATGAAAATACATATTGATTAAAAACCAAGAAGGTTTTATTGAGAGTTATAGCCAGTGTTAAGACTTGGCAGAGTCAGAGATAGATCACCTTGTGTTGACACAGCTGCTCAATATAATATTTTAGGAAAACTTCATTTACATCTGAAAGAGTTGTTTCATATCATATTTCCTTAGCCACTGATGAAGGCAATATAAATGTTTACCACTCAACCACTGTCATCATCCTGCATTTGATTTTAATGTGATAATTGACAAGGACAAATGCTTTTTCTGAAACGAGAGAGATAAAAATGTGGGTATTCTTTAATCAGTTGATGCGGTGAGTTATATTAATAGATTTTTCTTTTGTTAAACCTACCTTGCAACCTAGTAGAATATAGTTCCTTTTTTACGCATAGTCAGATTTGGTTTGCATATATTATTTGGGAGTGGGAGCAGGGAATTTTTGCATCTCTGTGTAAGAGTGACATTGGCCTGCAATTTCCCTTTCTTAAAGTGTCCCTGTCTGATTTTGGTATCGGGAATATACTATCCTCATAAAATCAGCTGGGAAGTGTTTCTCCTATTCTACTTCTATTCCATTCTCTGAAATAGAATATAGTATTCTCTTTATTGTGTGCAACATGACAACTGTCTTTTCAATGAATGATCAGACATGATTGTGAAACTAACCGGGAAGTTTTTGTGTGGAACTTGTAAAACTGATGGTCAAACTGTTTTGATGGCTATAAAACATTTAGAATATCTGTTTTTCTTTTGTTTATAATATTATCTTTTGTTATTTTTCAAGTCTGAACCTATTATTTTTCCCTTTAAATTCCTAATCTTGTTGATTTGTGCTTTTTATTTTCCTTGATCAATCTAGCCTGAGGATAGTTAATTATATTATTCTTTTTTCAAAGAAGCATTTTTTTACTATATTGTAAAATTTCCTTTTTACATTTTTTGCTTTTAACTGAATGAAGCATTTAATTCAGTTAAATTGATACTGATGACTGATAGATTTGAATTAATTTTTGCCACCTTTTTTTCACTTTCTATTTGTCTAAATTTCTGTGCTCTTTTTTATTTTCCTTTTTTTGCTTTCTTTTAGGTTGATACAATTTTGTTTTTTTTTATTTTCTTCAGTCTCCTTTTTTTTATTACTTTGGAAGTTATACACTTTTTTCTTTTAGTGATCATGTTGCATATTTTAAAATGCATATTTAAGTTCTAAAGTTAGTATTTTTACCCTTCTCCTGAATAATGCTAATGGGTAAAAAATGGCTTAATTTTGATATTCCTTCCTGAATTATACGCTGTTATTACCCAGATTTTATTGCTATCTAAATTTTAAAGTTCAATTAATTAGACATGGTCCATATTTTTTAGAATTATGTACAAATTCACCATATTTTTGCTTTTTTTTTGCATTTCAAAACTTACTTTTTGGAATATTTTCCTTTAGACTGAATTATTTTTCTTAAACAGAATTTACTTACCAGACATTGGAAATTTTCTCTCGTGAGGGTGGTAAACTCTTTCATTTGTGTTTGTCTGAAAATATTTTTGTTTCACCCTTGTTCTTGAAAGGTAATTTCTCTGGATATAGGTGGAAAGCTATCTTTTTCAGTACTTAGAAACTATTTTCAATTATTTCTGACTTCCATTAAGGTGAACTGTCATTATAATTCTCACTTCTTTGTGAGTAATCATTCTTTTCTTTTGGATGCTTTTATCATTTTTTTTTGTCTTTATTCTAGAGTTTCACTCTTAACTTGTATAAGCATAGATTTCATTTTATTATATATTGGGTTATTGGTTTCTTGAATCTTCCTATCATTAACCAATTACAGAATTTTGTAAGTCTCTGACGCTTTCAATCTCTTAATACACCCTTCTGAAATTCCAAGTAGAACTTTTTTGTACGTCTCCATTTTGTACTCCATTCATTTTTTGTTTGTTTGTTTTACATTTCTTATCTCTTGGTCTCTGTGTTGTTTTGGGTGGTTTCTTCAGATCTCTCTTTTAATTCATTTTTTCTTCTGTTGGTTCTGTTCTACTATCAAACCAGATCGTTGAATTTTTTTTTCAAGAATTATACCTTATTTAGAACATCTGTTTTTTCTTTTCCAAATCTTCCTGTTCAGTCCCTAATTTCTTTATTATTCTTCATACATTCTTTTATTTATTATTTTATATATATATATATTATATGTATATTATATATATATATAATATATATAGTGTGGGTTTGATTCTGAACTTTGTTTTCTTTGCTTACTGTTACTTCTGACACCTTTTTTCCTTATGTATTTAGTGTTTTGTTTTGTTTTTTAGAATAGATGAATCTTCCTATGCACATGCTTCAGACCCTTCCAGGGAAGATTTTATTTGCTTTTGGGAGGTATAGGAGAGTCCAACCAACCCAGTAATACTTTATTTTTATTTATTCCTATAAAAATATTATATTTTGGAAAGTTTTAAACATATAAAATTAGACAGAATGGTATAATTAAGATATGTATTGACCAACTTTCACAATTATCAACTCATGTCCAACCTTATCTCATTTAAAATACCATCCTTTTATTCCTTTCTTATAATACTTTGAAGTAAATGTAGATGCATTTCATATGATTTACAACTTTTAGAGAGTATGTATTTCTAAAGATGAGATTTCTTTTTAAAACCATTATCAGCCTAAAAGAAGTTAACACAATTCCTTAATATCAAATATCCAGTCAATATTTAAATTTCTGAATGTGTCATAAGTATAATAAACTTTAAAATAGAATTTATTTGTTTAAATCAGGATGCAAATAAAGTTTAAACAATATTCTCTTAAATCTTTTTCAAACCTTTAGTCCAAAGCTTTTCCCCTGTATCAATCTGTTTTCCCTTATTATTTGTTGAGGATCACCAGATTGTCTTTCTGCTTATGTTTTACTATATAATTAACCACTTGAAAACTTAGCGATTTAAAACAATAATTTATTATCATCTCTCATGTTTCTTTGGATTGAAGGGCTCAGATGAATATTTCTTGCTTGAGATCTCTCCTGTAGTGTCATCTGAAAGGTGAATGGACTGATTGTCCAAGATGACTTCTTTATTCACTCACATGTCTCACATATCTAATACCTTGGTATTCCTTGGTGTGTTTGTCTGTCTGTCTCTTCCTCTCTCTTCTCTGTCACCACATGGCATCTCCTTCTCCAGAGCCCTTCCATGTTGCTTAGGCTTCTTGCAGCATGACAGTGTTGACTTATTTGCACTGGTTCCATGGCACCTGACTCCCAAGAATGAAGTAGTGGAAGATGCTAGGCCATATCATAGTTACACCTGCCACTGGCCCAGCTTTACTTCTTTACTTTGCCTCAGTTGACTGGTCAAAATAGTCACAGGGCCAGCCTTCATTCAAGGGGGTACAGAAGAACTCCAGTGTTTAATGAAGGAATGGCAGTTTTATATTGTAGACAAAAATGTGGGATAGGAGATCTTTTTCCAGCCATTTTGGAAAATAAAACATGCCACATATGTACTGAAGAATTTCATAATCTAGATCTTGGTGACTGCTTCCCTGTGGTGTCAGTTAGCATGCGTTTGTTCTTATTTTTTGTCTTCTGTACTTCCTTTAAATTGTCATTGGATCTAGACGCTTGATAAAGTATAGTTTTAACATTTTATATCTATATCTATTTTTTGAGAATGGGGTAGCCTCATAAGAGGCCAGGAATTTCTGTTACATTTTTGGCTAAAGTTTTTCAGACCACAGAGGCAATATGAATACCAGCCCCAAACTCAATTGTCAGTGTATGGCTAGGAATATCATTGGAGAATTTTTTTTTTCTTATGGCATTGCATCTAGTGGCAGGGCCAAGAGAAGCATGTATCCCCACTGACTTTCTCTGTAGGGTGTTTTTTTTTTGTTTTTTTTTTATTATTATTTTTTTAAATTTCCTGGTTGACTGAGTATGCTGTGCTTAAAGTATCTTACTTTAACTTCAGGGGGGCTGTCTTCCATCCATACCCTTTTGCCCATATTCCTAGGATTGGACTTCTGTTCCTAGTTCAGATAGTCATTCTAATTTAGGCCTTACACCCTCAGGGATTTGCATGGCCTCTCAGGGCAGGCCCAGGCTCCAGGCCTTACTAACCCTGCAGATTTACTCTTTCTTGTTGTCACTGTTTTTTTGTATCCAGTTGTTTCTCTTACTTTCTGGCAGATATGCCATGATTTCTGTAAGATATTTTCTGTATTTTGTTGAGCATTTTCAAATGTCCTATAATAAGAGGGGTTTCAGCGTTGATTTAGTTTGAAAGGCTCGAAATGGATGTTAACTAATATCTTTTATTCTGAAAACATTTAGAAACATATTCTTAGTTTTGGTATGTAGCTGGCCAGATTTGCTATGTGTCTTTGGAGGTCAATGCCTGTTATTTTTTGCTTGTTAAGTTTTCGAATTAATAAAATTCAGAATTCCAAATTTAGCAAATTTAAGATTGATAAAATATAGAATTTTTAATTCTCTTATTCCCTGTAGAAAATATTAAAAAATCAAGGCATATTAGGATTTACCTCTTAAAATAGGACTTGAGTGGGTAAATAGAAGTTTTTTCTCACTTTTGGAATTGCTTATTTGAAATCATTCCCTTGACTGACAATATTTACAGAATAAGTGCCAGTCTTTTGGCACAACTCTAATGATACCAATGGAGATATCATCATGAATTAAAGGCTTTTCACTCTGGGTATTGTGTTGTTCACATTTTGTTAGGAAAGGAGGCTGTGGAATGTGAAAATTGGAGATTTTGTTTAAAATTATAAAAGGCCTTGACTGCTGTGAAATTGATTCAAAAGAGAAACCTGAAACAGTGAGAGAGATGGAGGCATCGTGATATTAAAAGCAGCATGTTTTTGGGTGGCATTTGCGTTGGCTCTGTGTCAAGTGGCCCTGGCTGGCTGACTGCTCTGTTTGGGATGGGATCCACCTTTCCACTCTGCTGAACAGCTCTGTATTGATGTAGGAATGCCAAGGCACTTGGCTTTTTTTGGCCATCATTTTTGTTAGTTATGTCCCACATTATCCCTGCAGAGCACTCAAAAGCGAACCAGGTTCAGCAAGGTCGTGACTTCTCCAAGGTCATTCTCCAAGTCAGTGCAGAAGCAGGAAGATTGTCTGAATGTTAGGTTGCAAAGCAAGGGATACTTGTCACAAGGAAATTAATTTTAAGTGTATAGATAGAGTATAGGAGGGGAAAATAGTTTAGGATAGGTATATAGAAATAGATTTTAGGTGCTTGTAGCAATACATTTTTTCTGATATCCTGTATGATGAAATCCTTAATTTGAGTGCATTTTCTTGGATAATTTCAAAATTTGCTTTGCTTTTATTTTTTGGTTTTATTCCTGCTATGATAAACTTAGGTCCAGTCCTTTTATTTTATGTCTAGACTATTCTAATGGTTTAGCCATGAGTTAATAACCAGTCTCTCTTCATTCTAAAAGCAATAATTTTTTGTAAAGTATTATTCTTATATGTTAGTCCTTCGTTTCTAAACCTTTACACCTTGGTCTCTAAATCTTTGGCTCTTGAAGAATGTCCATTTTCCTTAGCCTGGGATTTAAATTTCTTTGTGATATGATCTCAATCTGAATTGAAAGTGATTCTCTCCATGTACTATACAATTCTCTGGTCAAATGAGTTATTGGTTTCTTCTCAAATCCGGCTTTCTTCTGTTAGTTACTCCAACTCCTCTCTCCACTCCCCAATGATTACCACTTATCAAAATGCTCCCCATTCTTTGAGATCCTCCAGATGTAAAAATTTATCAGTGTAGCCTTCACTCCTAATGTAATTTCTATTATTCTTGGTTTTGCTCTTAGTAAATTTGTATTACTCTGTGACACTGGTCTCATGATGTCTCATGTGCCTCCAGTCTTGACCACTTCCAGTACATCCTCTGCAAACTAACTAAGCCATCCTTCAAAACAGAAATCTGATTATATCACCTGCTTAAAACCCTTCATTGGCTTCCTGTTGTATTTATAGTGAAAATTTCCAAAGCTTTTAACAAAACATTAAAAAAAAGTTTTTAACTTTTCCCACTTTATTTCCTACCTTTCCCATCTCATCCTATGCACCAATTTTATTTCCTTTTCTCTAAATGGCAGTTCATTTGCCTAGTTTTTTTTCTCCTGTTTCCCCATATCTTATCTCCCAGCTGGTGGTTATGGCTCACATGTTAGGACTTAGCTTAAATGTTATCTATGCAAACCACCCCTGACTTTGGGCAAGTTGGGTACCCTTCCTGCATGCTCCCATGACACCCAAGCTCACGCTTACTATAGACCTTTAACACTGTGGTATTGCAAATGGCTTTGATTTGTTCGGCTCTGCCACTACACTTGAGGGCAAGGACTGATATTATCTGTCATTTTACGTCTATGGTCTAGCGAGTGCCATTGAACAAATGAATTAACATTAATTTATTTATCCAACAAACATTTATTTAGAGTTTCTACTCTGTGTTGGGCACTGTTCCAGGTGCTGGGATTTCAATGGTGAACAGAAACACGTGGTCCCTAGCCTCACAGAGTCTCACTGCATTCAAATAATCATGCAAAATGTGATATTGCCAATGTGTCTGGTGCTGGGAAGGAGAGGTGATGGTTTAAGTCTGTAAGAGAGGGTTTGTCCTAGTCCAGGAGGGGCAGAGAGTTCTCCAAGGAAGTGGCACTGAGATCTAAAGCATTAGTAGGAATTAGCTAACCGAAGCGGGGTAGGAAAAGTGTTTCAGCAGGGCACAGGAATCACTGTATAGACACAGGCTTTAAAGAGGAGGTAACCTGACAAGAATGAATGCCTGAAATAATCTGGTTTAGTGGCCATGAGAGAGGGAGAGTTGAGCTTGGAGATGGAACTATGTAGAGGCAGACCAGGCAGGGCCTTCAGGTCACATTGATGATTTTCCCTTCCCCTCAAGACCATCAAGAAGTCTCAGTGTGGTTGAGGGAAAGGAAGACTTTTTGAAGGGAGTGATGTCAAGAGGCACAAAGTAATTATATACCTATAATTATTTTGTCCCAGAACATTTATTTATTCTAGTGCTTTTGCAACTACCTTTATATTCCACTTTCTAAAATCCTCATACCACCCTCTTTGGTATTATGTGTGACATGTATGACTTTTTCTGAAACAGCGATTCTTTTGACCCATTGATCTGATCAGTGTGCACATTTTTATGTTACTAGTTTCCTTGGTGACAGAGTTGAGGATCCTGCCCATTAATTATCGTGTTGGTACTTCTCATATGATCTTGAGTGATTTAGTCTAGTTAGGGTTTAAAACTATGTGATATTTCCAGCTGTCTTTCACCCTACTGCCCTCCTCAAATGATTTACATTTCTACCAATTAACAAATAAAGTTTAATTTTTTTTGTATGGCTAATTAAGAATTATTAGTTACCATTCAGAAGAATCTATACATTCTAGTTGTCATTCATTTTTAATAAACAATTGAGAATTGACTATGTAACATGCACTCTACTAACATATTCAGGATACACTCAAGGTCTTGCTACTTGTAGTCTAATGTCAAAGACAGGTAAATACACATACAACTTCAAAGCAGTGTGATGAGTGCTGTGAAAGAAGAAAGCATAAAGTGACAGACAGGGGAACATAAAGGAGGAGACCTAACTGCACTGGACTCAATTATCTCACTTGGGCTGAAGCAGGAAAACTACCAGAAAAGGTGAAGACTGATTTAAGTTTTAAGAATCAGTAGGACTGAGCCAAGGGAAGAAGAAGGCAGAGTAGAGGTTATTTAAGGTAGGGGGTGCTGTATGGACAAAGACACAAAATTAGTAAGACATATTGGAGGAATTGGATGTGGCTGAAAGTGGTCATGGTGCAGGACCCAAGCAGGGGTGGAAAGAGGAGGCTGCAGATGTGAACAGAGACCAGATCCTGAGTGGCCTGTAGTAAGGTCATAGGACACACCCATAGGCAGGAGTGAGGAAATTCCGCAGGCTCCACCCTGAGGTATAACCGGAATCTAACCGCCATCTTCACTGCTACCGCTCTGTTTGGAACCATCACAATCTCTCACATGGATTATGGCAGTAACCGCCTTCCTGGTCTTACTGTCCTTGACTCTCTTCAGCCTGTTCTTACCACAGCAGCCATAGTGTTTTGAACACAAGCAAATCATGTCACTCCTCCATTGAAAACCCTCCAGTGGCTTCCCTTTGTACTCAGTGTACAGCCCAAGTTCTTACAGTTCTCCTTAGGGCTTATTACTATTTAAGATACTGTATAGTTTACTTATTTATATTGTTTATTATTTTCTCCCTCAGTAGAATGGAAACTCCATGAGTGCAGAAAGTGTTGTTTGTTTTATTCGCAAGTATGTCACCAACACCCAGGACCATGTCTATTAATGAATTGACAATCAGTACCTGTTGAAAAAATGAATGACTGATACCACAGATGACGTATCATGATACTTACCTCATTAGTCACTATTGAAAGAGTTTATTTCAGCCATCCCCACCTTTTCCCTCATACCCCTACCTTACCCTACTCCCAGTTTAAACCATTATGCTTTCATACCACTTAGTTGAAATGAACTGTTTTAATGACCTCTTTGTCTCCCAAGGAGTTTTTATTCTTAGTAAAACCTGGACTAAGTAAATAGATGCTTTTCTTTCTTGTGTCAGCTACCCTTGGCTGTGATGAGTTCTCTGAGAACATGATTAGACCCATGTGTGTGAGCCGGGGGTGAAATCTGGGCATTTCAGTTCATAGAGAGCAGTGTTCTGACTAATTGTAACAGGATCTGAACCAAAACAGTCACTGGGTTCCTAGTGTAAGTCACATTCTCGTTTTTTAAAGCCAATGTCTCTATTGGCTTGGATTGGTCATATTCTGGTTCTTGGTGCTGCTGCTTTCATGCTGTGAAAATGGACTGCTCTATTTTCTCAGGCTCCATAGGAGTATTAAGCATTTGATTTCTTCACAAATAAGAGCAGAGAAATATAACCATAAAATAACACTGTGGACACATTTAACAATATTTATTTAGTGAGTAAAAGAGCCAGACCTTTTGATACATTGTCTGCTCTTCCAGTCAGCAAATGTTATTGTGACCATTGGGCAATGCTTGAAATCAGCCTTTCTGATTAAGGGGGTTAATTACCTTAATTACAATGTTTCATAGATAGTAAACAGTTTTTTTCATATATATAATATGAAAGGTGAGAAATGGTCTTGTACATAATGTCTCCAGGTTGCTTTCAGATCTTTAGTCTACATCTGCTGAATACTGTCTAGGTGAACAGCATACTGCTAAATAGTCAAGCAGAGAAGGCATACAGCCTGCTTTTAATGTGCTTACTGTGCTTGTGTTTGCAACAACCAATACCACTACTGCTACTGTCACCATTTATTGAGCTCCTACTACGTAACAACCACGATTTAAGTTCCTACAAGAGGCTTTGTTTCTCTTACTTCATTGAATGGTCCCAATAACTCTTCAAGGTAGCCACATATCTCCATTGTTCTGATTACAAACTTGGATACAGAGAGGATAAGTAATAATAAGCAAATAATAAGTAACCTGTAACAAATCAAGCTAGAAGAGGTGTCATGTGGCCGCTTGGTGTTTAATTGCTAGGATGAATAATATGAGGATGATAAAATCCCCTCACCCAAGGTGCTTATAGTCATTTTTATCAAGTAAAATGAGTTGGTTTTGTTTAGTAATCTGAGTTCCCTTCTGGAAATCTGACTAGACAGCAATATGAGTATTTTCTCCACATGGTTTTGTTACCTCTTCCTACAGAAAGGAGCTGGGTATCACCTGGATCTCTTCTGGGTGGCCATCCTCATGGTGGTGTGCTCCTTCATGGCTCTTCCATGGTATGTGGCTGCTACTGTCATCTCCATCGCCCACATTGACAGTTTGAAGATGGAGACAGAGACTTCTGCACCCGGAGAACAACCAAAGTTTCTCGGAGTAAGGTATGTTAAGTCAGAGGAAAATGGCTTTATAAAACACATCATGCACACATCCATATGTCAATCATCAGAAAATGGGCAGATATGGAGAAGAAAGGGGTGGTGATGATTAATGGATTCCTGTACTTGCTGTTCTAGAAAGGACTGAATATTTTATCAGAGAGTCTTCAATAATTATTTGAGTACACTTCTTATGATACATAAATTTTCTTTGATTAATGAAAGGCTAAATGATACAATGTAAAAATTCAAACAGGTCATTCAGTTTTTTCAACATGCAGGTCCTTTTGGTGCTGTGGTACTCTGTCACAATCACCTATAAAGGCCAAACCCTTTAATCTTTCAGCTCTGCTGAGACTCCCTAAAACTCTTGAGTCTGCCTATGATTTTAGAAATCTATGAAGAGAAAATAATTCTTATTTTCCAATCCATTTCTGCCCCCATAAGCATTGAGAAACCTTGACCCTCAGCTGTTAAATTTGGGTAGCCATGAAGGGCTGTATAAGACTGTTTATACGCTGTTGCATACTTTTTGCAGCCAACACTGCTCCTAAGTGCTAGTTGGGTGAATAGCTCACACGACAGAGCCATCATTTCCCACGCCACAACAGTGGGTGATTCTTTCTTGGGGCCAGGGGAGGAGGGGTTGTATGGGAATCATATTTGTTAAAAAGCACTTTTGTTGTTATAGATTTGGAAATTAGGCTGATGGGATTTATTGCACTTATGAAAATTCCCTGAGCTGTTTATTAATTAGAATGTGAGACAATACAATATCTGTCTCCTGTGAAAGAAGGTATAATTACACAACAGTTCAAGTTGTTTAAAAAATAAAGGCTTCAAAGAGGCCAGTAATTGATGGACCAAGAGCAAGTGGTTTTTTTCTTTCTTGATTCTAAAAGGAGCAAAGGATTTAGCAGGATCAGTTTTCTCTTGATGAATTCAAATCACATAATGCAATAGTTTTAAGAGACTTTTATAGTTATGTTGAGCTTATATGCTGTCCTTGAGGTATTAATTACATATGATATCAACACCTTTGCTGTTTTAGAAGGTGAGAAAACAAGAGCATGTTTGTGAAAACAAGAAGTAGATTGGTAATCTTTTGATTTGGTTTCAGGGAACAAAGAGTCACTGGAACCCTTGTGTTTATTCTGACTGGTCTGTCAGTCTTTATGGCTCCCATCTTGAAGGTAAATATGTGAAATACTCACCTCTTCCTTCTCAGGACACTGACAGATAATTGAATATGTGAAGAGCAGAATTCCTTATGAAATATCTGCAGGAGTCTCATCAGTTCTAAAACACACAGAAGCAAAAGGATAACTATTGCATTGTTCTGTACACCTGAAACTAACAATAAAAAATGTACAGCTAAATAAAAAAAAAATAATAAAAAAATATAACACACAGAAGCAGGGGTCAGGTAGAATGAGGACTTTAGAGAACTTTTATCTTGATTTTCTTCTCACTCCTTTACTCCTATTATTATTGTTACAGTTATTTGGTTGAACCATATTAAATCACCACTAGTCAAACTTTTTGACCAATGAAAATGGCAATTTCATACGGTTCAACCTAACTGATATCCCCCCTACCCTACATTTAAAAAACTTTTTTTAAATATTTAAAAAAATTTTTTCAATTAAAGTTTACGTATAATATTACATTAATTTCAGGTGTACAGCATAGTGATTAGACCTTTATATAGCTTACAAAGTGATTATCCTAATAAGCCTAGTAATTATCTGACACTATACATAGTTATTACAATATTATTGATTATATTCCCTATGCTGTACTTTACATCCCTGTGACTGTTTTTATATCTGGCAATTTTACTTTATTCCCCTAGTCTCCTTAGAGTCTTTCTTCCCATCACTTTCCATTTACTTGTCCCTAAATCCTGCCTCCTCCTCACCATATTAGACTCCTGGATCACATGAGTGACTCAGGATGATCATTTTATAATTTTTCTCATATTCTTAATTATTGCTGCTGTGTTTCCATTTTCTTTGAGTAAGAAGGCCTAATATCCACAAAGGGTGAATAGAGTAAAATTACTGATTCATAATTAGAAAACTTAGAATTGAACTTTTGAAGAAGAAAAATGATATGATGGATTATTCATAAAGATAGGAGTCAATGTAAAAATTTGATTGATGGAGTGAATATCTAAGTATAGAGGGTGCCAAAAAATGCATACACATTTTAAGAAAAGAAAAAACTGCATTAAAATTGTAATACTCGATATATACTGATAACAAAAGATCAATACAAGTCACATTTGACTTCTGCAGTTACAAGAGGTGCTCCAAGTGGTTACCATCAGCATAATTTTAATACAGTTTTTTCCTTTCTTAAAATGTGCATACATTTGTTTGGCACCCTCTGTATATAAATATAAACTACATGTGAAAGCCTATTTAGAAGCTGAGCTAGGACTAAAAGTAGAAAATTAGTATATACGTGTCATGAAGCTCCCAATTTTCTATTATGACACAAGCACTTTATTTTCCTTTTCTATTATACAAACAATAATAGCCAGTTATTGATATTTTTTGTATCTTAATGCTTTGCACAACAAATACAAAGCACAAAAATCACCTATAAACCTAATGGCTGTAAACAACCGCTGTTAGCAATATCCTTGCAAATTTTTCTCTGAAAATTTTTGTTTAGTTTTGAACAATTCTAATTTTTGAGGTTTTTAAAATGCTTATTTAATTACACAAGTAATGGAGCAGGACACTCTTGTAAAGAATTCAAACAATACAAAAGGACAGACAGTGAAAGGCAGAAGCCCTCCATTTCTCTGAAGTTAGCACATTTATGTGTGTCAATTGCCAATCAGATGAATTTGAGGAAAATGGAACTGCGATTTCTTAACCTATAGATAAGACTGACTTTGCCTTCAGGATATTTGGATTAATGCACCCACTATGCACAAAATACCTGGTAAGCAGTTAAAAGATTTAAGTATTCATCTTTTGTCCTTGGTTCCACAATGTCAGTTAACAGGTTTAATTCCTTTCTAACTGCAGTCATGAAGGAATATGTATCGCATGTAACACAAGGGGTAGTAAAAGAACCTCAAAGAAGTCGTTTCTGGTTACATAGAGACGACCTTACAGACCTTAATGTTCTTCAGGGACAGAGGGAAATCTATTGTTGCTGTAGGTTTTTTTTTTTGCCAGTTCACAGCAAGTTGTGGGGTAGGTTTGAAGTTGTACATCAGCTGGTGGGAAAATCTAATGACAGCTTTCTACCACACAGGCAGTGGGACACCATCTGGAGAGATCAGTTTTTAGAGAGGTCATTGCAAGCAGTTATGACCCCCTGTTGTGGGAGACTACTGGGAGTGAAATTGCCTCTGGGTTCCCTGGAGGTGGGCTTGAATGACACACAGCCAAGTTTCTTTTATGGGGTCTCTTTGTGCTTAGCCACTAGTAAGGGATAATAAAGATCTTTCTATCAGTTCCAAGTTACTCATCACCCTCCACCCCATTTTTTTTCTTTTATTTTTATATATATTTTTTTTCATTAATAAGTGTAAGATCCTAATTTCAAAAAGGTTAGATGCGTTTAAACTTTTTTTCGTTGTTGTTGCTACAGCAAGTTGGCCTTAATCTTGGAGAATCTGTTTGCTGAGTAATCATGTGTGGTTCCAAAGGGACACAGAGAACAGATACCGCATAAATTGCTCTTTTTAGGAAGAGATGCAAGACTCACATTTTCAACGCCTCTTCCTATTTTCTCACCTTGCACCCAAATGTGGCTGCAGAGGAGTTAAAGCTGAAAGCCCTTTTGTTCTTTCTGGTACAATGATTCATTTTGCCTTGATATGCAAAGCGCTTTAGTATCTTCAGGAACAGATCAAAATACAGAGAAAGGAGAGAAGTGTAAGGGATCATTGAGCATGAGCTTGTTTTTCCTTTAACCTTCCTTAAGTAATCCATGCTTTGGCTCACCCTCATTCAGCTGCCAGCCTCCATTATTGTGGCCATTCTACCTCATCACTTTGGGTCAATACAAAGAATCATTGTAGGAATCAGTGGAAAGGCAGTCCAGCAAACATTTTTGGTAGGCAAGATTTTGCTCAAAATATGGGACATGAAACTATTTTGTTAATACAGTTTCCAACATATTATGGCAAACCTAGACTTAAAAACAAGGATAAAATAGTCTAACATTGACTGCTGCGATTCCTTCCTTAAGTAATTAAGGCTATTTCTTACTTCAGGAATTATATCTGATGAAGTCAGCTAATTTTAGGGCATGTGTCCGTCTTATCTTTAAAGTTTGGTAAGTTGTATGCATTCACCACAGACCCCTTGTAGCTCGTTTGTAAAGTCAGCACAGAAAGAAACAGAGGCTGAGGGTACAGTTAAACTAAAAACTAAAATGTAAACCTAAAGTTACAACTAAAAGTCAAGATTAACAGTTAACCTCAGAATTCACACAGAAAGGGATGTATGTTTGGGATTACCTTCGAGGAAGGAACCTTCCCCCCACCCCACCCCCACCATGTGACTATATGTGTTTTAAAGAAATAGGTGACAACTTTAGAGAATGGTCTTACTTAAGCGTCAGCCTTAAAAACCAAGTCAAATGAATGGGATGAAGAGAAATGTGTGACTTTTTACTTTTTAAAATGGAATAGCTCAACACCCTCCCTCCCAGTTCCCTACATCCTCCACAAGTTTCGTGGCCTCAGATGATCCTAGCACTTTTCTCTCATGCATTAAGCAGTATAGGTACGTAGTTGTTCCCGGGGCCTACTTATACAGGTTTATTTTGAACATGAAGTTTATGATCTCTGGTTTAATTTCTTTGCCAAAATCTGCCTTTTTACAGGGAAGAATGTAGAGAATCATATTGTATTAGCTTTAAGTTCACGAGCATAACCCTTGACCTTAGCTGGCTACAGTCTTACATGACTCAAACCTCACCGCTGATTCAATACACAACTGCTGGAAAGCAGGCATAACTGGCTTCCCAGGCTGGTTAAACAGTTTAGATCTGTTTCTGTAGCTGAAACATTGCCTGTTAAGCTAGTGTTCTGTATGGGAGACTCAGAGAGACTAAAAGAGCAGCGAAATGATGCAATGTAGTTCCTTGAACATTTTTTAGTTCTTCGGGCAGGCCTAAAGAAATAAAAATCATGTGAAGTTCACTGCTACTTCTGTTGCCTTTGCTTGAATTAGCTTGTCTTTAACATGAGGATTGGCCAAAATTTATCTTTCAGATTTGTTTATTGGTCTACATTGTGGAGGACAGCATTTAATTTGTATTTGGCGAACATTGGTTGACCTCCTACAATAATGCCACACACTCTGCTCATTAACAGGGAAACAGAGAAATGAGAGTGATGATGATGATGATGATGATAATGATGATGATGATGATGATGAATGATAGTGACGGCACTTATAATAGTAGCTCTCATTTATTGAGCCTGGCATTGGACCAAGGGCTCTGCACAGATATTTAAAATTTGGTTCTCCAATAACACCTACAAAAATATATTAATAATTGTATTCACTTTACAGATAAGAAAAATTATGAATAACTTGCCAGGTCCGAAAGTTCTTAAATGGTAGAGTCAAGATTTGAACTCAGGCAGTTCTGGCGCTAAGGCCTGATTTCATATTCGTCACGGTTTCCTGCCTTTGAAAGTAAAACAGTATTTGCCATCAAAGAACTCATTCACTTTCATTTCCTATGAGATGATCTTTCCCAGTCTCCTTGATCCATTTTCCAGTTCTCTTATGTAGAGAGAAATGTGGCATTTTTACACTCAGCACACGTACTCCACAGTTTCTTCAGTGACTTAGGGACCAGGTTGCAAGTCAGCAGCTTTCTTATGAGCCCAGATTTTTAAGGCTTAAGGGCATTAGGATGTTATTTTAATAACATGTTCCTGAAGACAGCTGCTGTAGTTGTAAGGGCAATATTGTAGAACTTAAATAAAACCAAGGTTTCAAATCTGACCTTTGCAGCCATCCTCCCACCATGGAAAGACCAAAGAGAACTGTGCTTTGCAGTGGGAGGCTTTCGACTTGCCAGAGGTTCTGATGATAATAATGACATCCATATCACATTTATTATTTACTGAGTATCTATTATGAGCCAGGCTCTGAACTAGGTGTTTTGTGTTGTACTCTTTATCATAACCACTACATAAATGAGATTCCCGAGGATAGGGCAAGTTGGTAATTTTCTTTGGGCTCTGCAACAAGTAAAGCAGAATTCGAACCCACGTCTGTCTAACTTCTGTGTGCATGCTCTTAGTTGAGACCTCATTCTGGTTTTTACACACACACACACACACACACACACACACACACACACGACTATTACTCTGTTGGAAGGCCTCAGTCCTGTACAGAAATCTGTGCTGGAGATAACTACAGTCTACCTTTCTTATTAAACTTTACCTTTTTGCATTTTTTCTTATGGGAATAATCTAATGCTATTAGAAAATTAAAGGGAAGGGTAAGTGAAAAAGAGTGGAATGACAGTCATCACAATTTGGAAAATTCAGTGACACAGTCTGAATATGTTTATCTTCATTCACTTCACCTCAATTTCGTTATTCTATCTGGTTGTAGGACCAAGCACATAATTGTTTTAATTTTAATGTTCATTAAAAGCATAGTAATATTTATTTATAATTATAGTTTTTGGCTTCTTGGGTGTGATTGATTATTTATATAATTTACTTTGCATAATTTTATCATTTGGCAATTCTTGATATGCCTATGAACCTATTTTACCTTGTTGTTTTTTTTATGTTTTAATTTCTTCTGTCTTGCTTTGGGAAAATGTCTATCTGCTATTACTATGTATATTATATTCTTTTAACTTAAAACTGGATCCCATCTTTTAAAAACATATTCTTCTTTTCCTACCTTTGGGACATTTCTATTGTGATGAATTTTTAAAGGTTGACCTTCCGATGTGACTCATGAACCAAATCCAATAAAAAATATCCTTTAACTCAGTAATTCTTTTAAATTTCACCAAGATTTCAAAACTGGAAGATTTTTATTGAGACACTGCATTATCATAAAGAAAATGGTGAATTTCCTAAGATTTATATTGTATTGAAGTTGGCCAAAAATCTAATTAATAGCCTTCCTTGTATGTACTGTTTCCATTTCACTGAAGAGTATTTTTTAAAAACATCTTCATATCTAAAGCTGTTTTCCTATCCATACCCCATGCCATTCTGAGTTAATAGTGACTTCTGACTATATTTTATGATAGATTCAGCGACATCTATCATCATAGGTTCACAGAGATTAGACCTAAACACCAAGGCACAACTTCCTTTCACCTTGGCGTTAGAAGTACATTAGAGAAAATATTAGCTAAGCTTAGGCGCTGGGTGGAGATAAGGCCTGGATCACCTTTGTGATTACTTTCGTTCAAGCCAGGAAAATACTTCACGCAGATTAAAAAGTAACTACTGCAGGGTTTCTAAATAGTTTCCCATGAACTCTACTTCTCTCTCCCCCTTCCACCTTGCTTTTCCTCCCAAGAAATTAGAAATAAAATGACAAGAAGGAATTTATCCTATATTAAGGAAAAATGGAAGTGCCCTTGCCTGTTAAAAGATATTTAAAAAATTAAGAAGTGAGTCAAAGATATAAAATGGTCCCTTTGTTCGTTTTATTTTTTGGTAAATTCATACAGGGGAATCATAGGGAATGGAAACATGCACTTTCTAAAGGAAATAAAGGCACTTGTCAGAACTCCAGGGCCTTGAACGGCATGTGTTCACCTCTTTGTGGTGACTGTTGGCAATTACAGCGCACACGGCTTCCTCATCACTCACACCATCTCTCCCACCTCCTTCAACACTCAATGTCATTCATTTTTCTCTGGTCTCAAGATCAAATTACCTGTGTTTAAAATGTTAGTCTTTTCTAGAAGCATGTGATGTTTTATATAAATAAGTATATTTATTCATATTATTAAGTTATATTTAACAATTTCTATAGCTAACCAATAACAATTGGAGACAGCTGTGACATTTTGGAATTTACTATTTCCCCAGTAGCAGCCAAAGGGTTTCAAATACAGAGCTATTTTAGGTAATCACAAGGAAAAGCTGATAGAAATTGTGCTTCACTTAATACATGCAATATTTCTTTAAAAATTACTCTTTAAAGTCATACTGTTTTCTGGCTACAATAGCCTCTTTTATGTAGATTTGGTAAGACTGGACTCGATTGCGGTTTTAGCATTTTAGCTTTGAAAACTCCTGAAATTACTTGAGCTTCTTTCAAAATGCAAGCCTGAGAACCTTTTGTAGTTCAGATAGAAGACTTCCCAGAAACAGAGTTATCCTTGATTTGCTTAGTTTCTGCAGTGCTAGGGACATTTCAAAGGTCTAGGAATAGATAAAACTTACAAACATCATATTGGAACTCCCCATTGTTAAAACACTTTGTGTTAATGTAAAAAGCAATTTTGCTAATTAAAACATGAAGTGTATTAATTCCGTTTTTAAAGTTGTGTATTAATCCATGTGTGTAATTAATTGCTTCCAGATGCTCGATGCTCCTTTCAAGCAGTGTTCTCATTAGTTAGTTCTCTTAATATTCCTAAGAGAAGAAAGAGGACCGTCGTTTGATGTTTTTTTAATTGAAGGAAGCATTTAAACACCAAGATCATTTGATGAAAATTATTAGGGAAATATCAAAAGACTGTTGGTAAAAGAACTTGGTCTCAGGAGTGAGGTGACTCTTTTCTCCCTCACAGTCCATGCAACTATCTGGTTTACACAGTCATTTCTTTTAAGGGGAAAGGGAAACAGAAACTTTTTTCCCCAATTAAAAAAAAAGTTATTATTAAGGTCATGCATACTCATTGTAAAAAAATGCAAACTGGCATCAAATGAAAATTTAAAGCTTCTCCATCCACCTTCATTTATTTCTAGTACAAAGGGTTTAGAAATTGACCAATGATGAGTAAAGCACACTAATTAGAGATCACTACATTATGTCCTGTATTTAGTTTCAGATTTAGCTTTAATTTATCCCTCTCCATTACTGTTGTTGTTGTTGTTATTGTTTTAAACCTTTCTCCATTTTTTTTTCTTTCTAGTTTATCCCCATGCCTGTACTCTATGGCGTGTTCCTGTATATGGGGGTAGCATCCCTTAATGGTGTCCAGGTAAGTTTTCCATAGCAATCTAAATATAGTCATGTTTTTCTAATAGTAAGGCTAGTCCAGTAATAGATCTTTGAAGAAAAGTACTAATTATTTGCCAAGTTTTTAAAATACATTTATTTTCTTTTTTCATTTGTTTAGGTGTCCAAAACAACATAGTAATTAGACATTTATTTACCTCACAAATTAATAACCCCAATAAGTATATTACCCACCTGACACATAGTTACTAGGATATTAACTATATTCCCTGTGCTGTACCATATATCCCAATGACTATTTGTTTTAATTATAGTTGACATTCAATATATTAGTTTCAGGTGTATAGTATAGTGGTTAGACATTTATATAATTTATAAAATTATAAAGTCTAGCATCCCTGATAAGTCTAGTACTCACCTGATACTATATATAGTTTTTGCAATATTATTGACTATAGTCCCATACTGTACTTTACATCTCTGTAAAGTCCCACCTGACACTATATATAGTTTTTGCAATATTATTGACTATATAGGCCCCATACTGTACTTTACATTTCTGTGACTATTTTGTGTCTGTGACAATTTGTCTCTGTGACAAATTGGTAACTACCAATTTGTACTTCCCAATCCCTTCACCTTTCTCACTGAGCCCCCCAATCCTCTCCTATCTAGTAACCATCAGTTTGTTCTCTGTGTCTGTGGGTCTGTTTCTGTTTTGTTTCTTCATTTATTTTGTTTTTTAGATTCCACATGTGAGATCATATGGTATTTATCTTTCTCAGTCTGACTTATTTCATTTAGCATAATACGCTCTAGGTCTATTCATGTTGTTATAAATGGTAAGATTTCATTCCTTTTTATGGTAGAGTAATATTCCATCGTATAAATGTACCACAATTTCTTTATCTAATCGTCTATTGATGGATGTTTTGGTTTCCATATCTTGGCTATTGTGAATAGCGCTGCAGTGAACATAGGGGTGCATATATCTTCTCGAATTAGTGTTTCAGATATCCAAAGTACATTTATTTTCTACTTTCTCCACCATTCACCTGCTTTTCATTTTCTGATAATTAGCAAAGTTAGCTTGTGTTAACGAATGTTATCATGCATATCCATTCTTAAAATAGGCTATTACAGGTCATTTGACCAGGAAAGTAAGAGAGCTCTGATCTCTTCTTTCCGCCCTTTTCCCCTTCATCCCTCCCTCTCTTCCTTCCTTCCTTCCTTCTTTTTTCCCTTCCTTCTTTCTTTCCTCCTGCATTTCCTCTCCCTCCTTCCCTCTCCTCCTTTACTTTTTCTTTCTTTTTTTGGTCTCAGTAAGGAATTCTAACCCTTTTTAGTGTACTCTTCAAGATACTATTTATCCATTTGCCTTTATCCTATACTAAGAACAGGCTATTCTTATTTGATTTGCTTTTCACACGGCTGAGATCAATGATCAAAAGTTTTGAACCAATAAAAGAATAAAGTCAGTATGGTTTATGTGCTACTTTTTTGGCTATTCACAACTTGGGTAAAACTGGTCCCCTTTTAAAAAAATCATTAGCAAAAACTTTGTAAGGGACTTTGTCTTTCAACTGAGGTTCAATTTAATTTGTACCAGGAAACTGGAAGTACTTCTGCTGCTTTCTGGCACCTTGTTAATTGTAGCCTTATTTAGCACTTAGTAATGTTTTAATGGGAAAAGACTGCATGTTCTGTGAACATCATAAGAATTTATTTAAACCTCTTCATAATAGTCCTTGCTTTCATTTATTGGATTTAGATTAATTTGGTTTTAGAGTCAGATAAAGCTGGGCAAGTGGCCAGACTCCCCAAAAGAGAAAAGACTATTTTCTTTTTCCTTATTTAGGTCTATTGAATAGAGTTCTTCACCATTTGGGTAATTGTTACAAAACACAAGGTGGTTCTTCATAGATTAGACTAGATGAATATGAATATGTGTTTATTTGTTCCCATGAAACTTTTGAGAGGATAAATATGTAAAAATATTTTATTTGTACCTGGCATTATAAGTATTCTTTATTTCTGTAAATGGGAAAATATGGAATTAATATGGTTTCCAAACTAATCATTCTTACTTGTGTTTAACTTTAATAGGTCAGTCTAGATGAAAAGTTTGATTTTATGCATTCTAGGTGCTTAATTGACGGTTGGAACTTAGTATATATTTATTCAATTAAATAGAAGAAAATATCAATTTCATAATGATGGGGGGAAAATCTTTTGCTGAAAAGAAGGATAGTAGATTTTTTAAATTCTTCAGTGCTGTTATCCCTATTTTTTCTCTCTTTTTTACTTTTCTCTTGATTTTCCCTCTTTTAGACCTTTTGGCAAGATTTGATTTAGCAAGAAATTTTGTAACCCAATCTTGATAAACGGCAGGGACCCACCAGTCAAAAATAGTCCTGGAGGACAAAAGAAAACTTTTAGATAGGAAATTACTTCAGAGAAGATTGTTTGTGATAATCTATTTACATTTCTCCCTTCCCTCCAGAAAGAAAACAGGTATTATTTCAGAGTTCTTATATAATAATTCAACTCAGTAACTATTTACTGAGCATCTTCCATCTGAAAGATTCTATGACACGTACTTAAATATCATCCCTATCATCATCATTAATGTAAACTCAGCAGTTATTCTTTGAAGCACAGCATCTGGCTCATAGGTGCTCAGCAGTCATTTCAATACTTGTTTATACACAACAGTGTGATAGCCTCTCCTAGATTCAAATATCTATTTGTTGACACCCTGAAACTCACTGTAATTAGTATGCATATGGCTTTTCTCTAACAAGAAATGATAATGCATTGCTGAATGTATTAGTTAAGTTATGCTATTAGATAAATAATGTAGAATTTATGAAAATACCAACGTATTCACATTTTCAAGTTGGATACTTCCTTGTATCCTTGAAACATCCCTGAAATGTATATAATGCATAACAGCATCACCTCGTCTTTCAGATAAGACAGCGAAGTTAGAGTAAGATACATGAGTTAGGTGTCTTGCTTCAGCATATCATTACTAAAATAGTCACAAGATCCTTTTTCCTGAGGCTCAGATAGTATAAATAGAAACTAAGAGATGAGCATCTAGAATTTATAGATGTTTATATATATATAACATTTTTGCAAAGTAATAATAAAAATTGGAAGACTCATACAATGTCTTACTGTGCTAGACTAAATTTCTGCACTCCCTGACTGGTGTCCTCTAGAAAAGACACTGCCTGCCCAAATTACAAACTATAAATCACTAGTGGATAGTTAGGCATAATGGAAATGACTTTGTGGATCAGCTCTTGAAGTAATGCAGTTGTACTCTCTTCCCCTGTCTCCCCCAGTTCATGGATCGTCTGAAGCTGCTTCTGATGCCCCTGAAGCATCAGCCTGACTTTATCTACCTGCGCCATGTCCCCCTGCGCAGAGTCCACCTGTTCACTTTCCTGCAGGTGTTGTGTCTAGCCCTGCTCTGGATCCTCAAGTCAACTGTGGCTGCTATCATTTTTCCAGTCATGGTAGGGATTCCTTTAATTGAAACTACCCATGAGGTCGCACCAATATCATGTGGTTATTGTAATAAGGAGGACACATGTGTGTTTTGTGTGTGGTTGCAATGTTTTCCAGCTTTGACCAAGTCACATTGATTTGATCAGTTGCAATTTAATGCTCCTATGTCTGTGGTTGTCGACACTGGATCTTAGAGTCAGAAGAAGCTGAGTTCAGATACTGGCCCTGGTTTGTGCTGGTCAGTGAATGAATCTCCCTAAGTTGCCATTAATTTATCAGTAAAATGTGGATGGAATTGTTATTGTTATTCTGAGCATCAGTAATGAATATCAAGTATATGGCACAATGCCTGGCACATAGTAGACACAATTGCATGTTATTTATTTTAAAAATACTGTTGTATGATAAAATCAGTCTAAACAACAATGTATGGTGCATTTCAGTCCAAATATTGGGTTGTCGGAAAAGTCATGATGTATTTTTTCTGTTTTTGTTGCAAAAATGCGTCATGACTTTTATGACAACCCAATAATAGGGAACAAATTGGGCAACTTATAAGAGGTCATCCAGTGAATTAGAAGAAATGAAGTGAGATATTTAGCTAGTTTGTATCATGCTAAGTTTAAGTCTGGGCTCTCTATTCTTGCTACGTATGAGATGATGAGAAGCAAGGTAAAATAACTTACATTCCACTCTGAATCACAAGTGAAAGAAGGGAAAAAGGAAATGCTAGCTCTGTATTTGGCTTCATTATTGAACTTTATACTTCACCACAGCATTCCATTTCTTGCAAGACAATGCTTATGCATTCACTTGAAACAAGTCACAAACCAGCTCTGTCTCCCCCATGGCTTTGGAAATAGAATTTTCATACATGAGCCATGTTTTATTTTCTATAAAAATCTTCTTACCCAGTATTATTATTTTTTATGGGTATTTATTGTTTACAATGTTTTTTTTTTTCTCCAGGGAAGAAGAAAAAAATAGTATAAAATACTAGTGATACTTTTAGTCATATTTTTTTGTCTTGATGATCCATTATATCTCTTTTTCTTTTCTTAAACTCTCCCAACTTACTGGAAAACAAACTGTATGTGAGAAATGACTCCCATTTGGTATAATCCACCTACCTATCAGTTTTGCTAAAGCCAGGAAAAAATAAAGTTAGACCTGGATAAATTTGAAATATATGCAGTAAATCACTTATTACTTATGCTAAATAATAAAAAAAACAGTTTTACCTTTTTAAAGTATTTTCTTTAGTCTTTTGAGAACTTTTATTTGATCACAAAACAATCATGTAATATCAGTAGGCCAGATTTTATTAATTTCTCTAGGAAATGAAGAAACTGATATCTAGAGAGCATATGGATAATGACGATTATTTATTTGAGGCAGAGTCGTGACTCTTGTATTCAAGGGCATACTAATTTTACTCTTAAGCAAAGACATCTTTAAGGTTACCTTCACAAGTTACTCTGCAAGAGCAATTCATAGAATCAAAGATCCAGAGCTTAAAAATACTGATTTTATATGCAGACAGCTGTGCCCCACTGTACTCTTCATTTTTCTGGCTTTGTGATCTTGGATGTCATACTTATGTCTCTAAGCTTCAGTTTCCTCAGCTGTAAGATAGAGATCCTAATATCTACTCCTTAGGTTTGTTGTGGAAATAAATAAGAAAATACTGCCTAAGAGTTTTTAGCACAGCATCTGACACATTGTAAGTATTCAGTTAATGTAGTTTTTGAAGTCTTCCAGTAGGTTAAATGGTCTCTGCATACTCCACAACTACCTTATTAGTAATAATTTGAAGATGTTTTAGTGTACTGTATGTTGCACAGATTTTCCTGATTTTCAGAAACTTGTATAATATTTTAATTTTGAATAATTAGAAATCATATGAAGTCTATTTTTCTCCTTTAATTATGTAGTTATTTTATTAAAAATCTGACATGGAAGAAAATGGTTAAAAACTACCCCTTTCACATTGAAATTCTAAGTGAATGTGATCATACATTTCGGTAAACACAACAAAGTGAGTTTCAAGTAAGACGTTTATAAACCAACTTTCCCCATAAAGAAAATGTTTATCGTCCACTTAATATAAGTCCATATAAGCAAGATGAGTTCCGTCATCCTCTAGCCTTATACAAAACAGGTTTCTACTGCCTTTTATAGGGCGGTATTTATATCACTATGACTTCATCTGACATGGTTTCTTTCATACTTTTTTATATTTATCCTTCCAGATCTTGGCACTTGTAGCTGTCCGAAAAGGCATGGACTACCTCTTCTCACAGCATGACCTCAGCTTCCTCGATGATGTCATTCCAGAAAAGGACAAGAAAAAGAAGGAAGATGAGAAGAAAAAGAAAAAGAAGAAAGGAAGTGTGGACAGTGACAATGATGATGTAAGAAACTTCCCAAAATTGCAAAGAAAAGCTAGTTAAAAAAACAAATGTGAAAAATCTATTTTTAATCCTTTGAGCTGTATATATGGCTCTGAGTTGCAAGAATGTTTATCTGGCCGTGTTGTATGTCATTTTTCACCTTCCTTTGCCCTTTATTCTCTCTCTTCATTTTTTTCAATTTTTTGAAGTCTTTCTTTAACCATTAATACACTAAAAATGACAAAATGACTTCTAAAAACAAAACAAAAAATCCCACCATACCTAAAGAACTTCAATCTCTAGTCTCCTAGAGAAAAAGGAAGTTTGCTTAGTGGTGCTATAAAGTGTAATTTTAATTACTATTGATAATCCAGGATTAAAATTTGAGATAGCTCAGTTTTCTGTAATGTTAAGCCTAACGTGGACAAATGCTGGTGACCTTACCTTTTATGATCTATTGGGTTGTTGGAAAAGTCATGACGTATTTTTTCTATGTTTTTCGTTGCAAAAATGCATCATGACTTTTCCGACAACCCAATATGTGTCTATCTGAGTAGGCTCTCAGGCAGAGTTCTTTGCTAGTGTTCTTATCCTCGCGTTGGGCTTTGACATGATTGGGGATTATTTCTTGGCAATCCTTCATTAAAAAGGAAAGAAATTGGAGTTTGGGGTCTTTTTACATAATTGTAGTTGTCAGTCTCATGGTCTAGATGATCCTCCTGCAACTGGGTGATTAAGTTGAGAAATAAAATTATTGCCCATTTTTTTTCTTTAGGAAATCATTTCACAGAAATGCAGGTGCTCCAGTAGGAGTCTGTAATGTGTGCTAGGAGAAAAGCTGAGATTTGTTCAACACACACACACACACACACACACACACACACACACACACACACCCCTTATCCCAGTAGCCTTTTGAAAATGACATTTTCTATGTAAGGATTTGTTCTGGATTTTTTTACACAGTGCAGTATCCTCATTCTAATAGGATTCCTGGTATCCCATTCTAAAATGGGACTGTAAATTTTTGGTAGCTACTCTGTAATTGATCCTTTTGATTGATCCTGCATACTGGTCCTTAATTGCCATAACAGCTCTTTATAGTATATATTTTTGTTACTATTTTACAGATGAGGAAATTCAGACTGAAATGTTAAGTCATTTTTTTTAAGTGTACACAGCCATAGTGGCAAAGCCAAAACTAATCCAAGCCTGTCTGGTTATTTCCAATTGATCAGGCTGTCTGATTGTTTTCTATTTAGAGAACTTGGATATAGTACAGTGAAAGAAGGCAACAGCCAAAATTGGATTTCAGATAAATTGATCCAATAAGAAAAGGCTAAATATATGAGGCACATTTAGCTAAAGAGAAAGAGTCTCAGGGCACTTTTGTGACTACCCTCATTCATCTTCAATGAGAACAGGTATATACATTTTCTGTTTCCAATGATGATAAAATAAAAAGAGAGAATATATTTAAACTGCAGCACAGATTAAGATGCAATATTAAAAAGAAGTATATGTTTATACATTGAGTAGATATCAAGATTTGAAATGAATTTCTAGACTACTCAAGGCAAAAAAAAAATTGCGTGAAATACTGAGATAATTAAAGCAGTATTTCATCTTGAATTTTCAGAACAAGTACCTCAGTTTATGTACATGGACACCAAACTTAAAATTCATACACATTATAAACATAGGAAATAATATTATAGAATCCTCTTCTCTAAAGGCTTTTAGAAAAAGTAATAAAATATCAACTTTGGGGAATGTTTTAAATTTAGTGCTCTTTGCATCAAAAGTTGGAACAAATTAGCTCCTGAGAAGTTCTTCCAATTCTTAGATTTGATTTTCAACAAATCGTATTTTATTTAAACAATGTTATTCTTTTATTAATGATATTTACTATTTTCAGCTCCATATTTTCAACAAATTTCTTGAAGATCATGTGTGACACATGTTTCCTTTTCTCTTTCTCTCCTTCCTCCCATCCCACCAAAACAAACAAACAAACAAACAAGCTTATATATTTATCCTAGGCAGTGAATCCAACCAGGAAATTTGGAGTAAATCTGTGTAATAAATTCTCCGTGTTGAGCTCATTATTTGGGGGCTCCACATTTGGAAGGTGGCTCTTCTGATGTTCACCTGATAATTATGGGCTGTGGGGTCCATGGGTATAGAGAGCAACATGGGGCATGGGAGTTATAGCTGTAATGGTTGTGAGTAGAAGTAGTAAAAATTATGGCTTGCCAACATTTTGAGCCACTCAGTCATTTATGAATCTGCTGGTAGGCTGTGATTAAGGGTTGGCTACCAACCTGTTCATCTATAAATGCTATTATTTGGGGAAATGTTTGAAATGCTGTAAGAATACTTGTTCTTCTTGACATTCTCATAAAGGTAGCTGCATGCAGCATCTTCATTATTTTTTGTCAATTTTAGTACAATATCTTAGTCCTTTAAAAGTAACATTGTAGCTCATTACTCTCTTTAGATTCATTATAAAGGGATTTTTAATGTGTGTAGTAGGCTTTATGTTAAGACTTACTTTTTCCTTATATTCTTTGACCTCTAGTTCTTTTATTTCCTTTCAGCTAAAGGTCATCTCCTTGGTACTTTCAGTTAAGAGATGAATTTGATCTTTTGAATCCAAACATAGACTTGCATTCAATGAAATGAATTCTAAAAAACAGTAAAGTGGTAATCCTGTGGAAAGCTGTTACAGGTTGGCTTAGGTGGCCTGTTCTTTAAGTAGCCTCATGATTAGCTGTCTGGTTTTCTTTTATTCTGGTTATGATTCTTCTCTGCTTACCTGACCATCATAGACACCTTGCTTTTGACTTTACTTTCTCATGTTTTGCTAAGTTTTCAAATATCTTTGGTACAAGCAAGTTGAAATTAACCTTTAACTATTAGATAGTTTAATAGAGTATTAGCGTAAGGGAGGGAGGTTTGTTTTCAAGTGTGTGTAGAGGGTTCCTGGATAATGGGTGTTGCCTTCTACCGGTCTTAGAGGGAAACATGAGTCATAATTTTCCTGGAAATGGAATCAGAAAGCAAGGCCGGAACAAGAAGACCCTATGATAGTTTAGGTAGTTTCCTAGATTTAATCTTTCATATTCAGATTATTTGCCTTACACATACAATGAACTCAGAAATATTTGCTGATTGCGAATCCGGCTTATGGAAAGCTTTACAATAGTCCCAATTTGTAGTGTTCTCCATTTGGCGCCGTTCTAGTTTTAATTGACTCAATTCCATTCACTGAGAAGAGAGGAGCACGAAGGTGAGTGGGAAAGAGTACACAGAACTTGGAAAGTTAGCGAAGCGGGAATGAATATGTAGAAGGCATTTCTAGTTAGTGCCATGTAAATGATGATTGATAGGTTTAATCCACATTGGAAGGTAGGAAGGACTGTGTAGTGGAAACTTTCTAAAAACTACCGTAAATTTCTTTCACAGTCTGACTGCCCATACTCAGAAAAAGTTCCGAGTATTAAAATTCCAATGGACATCATGGAACAGCAACCCTTCCTAAGTGATAGCAAACCTTCCGACAGTGAGTAGAACTAACCTCTCGCTTGCCTGCCTAAATATGATTTGCTCTTGCAGAGACAAAAACTTTAGAACTATCATTTACATGAACTTGTCCTCTAGTTTCTTTCTTTCTATATGAAGATGTATGCTTAATTATTATAAAACTTCCTTTTTACATTTTCTGAGCGTCTTTTATTTTCCTTTCATCCATAACCTTTTAACTTTTTTTTTTTTTGGTAGTCTTTTCTCAGATCCAAGTTATCACCAGTTTCTTTCAGTTACTAAACACGTAACCATCTTTTTAATTGATTTAACTTTCTTCTGCTGGTATTAAGAATTGCGGCTTATAGTACTACATCACTGTCTGTTACTGTTTGTCTTCCTTAGGCTTCAGCCAATGACCAAATCAGCTCAAAAGAGAAATTGCAACATGAGTCTCTGAATGATCAATGAATCAATCGTCAATATTGAGAATTTAAAATAATTTGTTCTTTTCAATTTAATTGGCAATCATAAAACATTGACACAACTGTTTAGGTATAACTTATATGTGCATTTTCTTCCTAATTTCTTCATTCCCCTCTGCTATTTCAAAAATCACCTTTGTAACTGCACTGTTTTTTTCTGGGGTAATAGCCTAATGGCTAAAGTGGAATGATTTCTGACATTCACCAATTTTTTTTTTTGTATTTGAATTAATGGGCCACTTGAAGAGGAGAAAAAAATTTCTGTAGTAACATTAGTGAATGTATCTCAGGCTTTTCCAATAGCAAGCAGCAATTGCCTCCAAACTACTTTCATTTTGAGTTCTCATTTGCAGAAAATGTATTCTTTTTCATCCAGATGTACTTCAAAGTCTACTGATCTGTTAAAGGAAAAATACAGTTGAGAGTTTTTTATTTCTATTTGGTAATGCCATTCCAACTTCAATAACAGGTCACCAGGAAAAGTTTGAAATGAATGACTGAAAAATAGGCATACTAGTTATTTATTGCTGTGTAACAAATTACTACAAAATTTAGGAGCTTAAAACAACAAACGTATTTTCTTACACAGTTTCTGACATTCAGAAATTTAGGAGCAGCTGCCTTTGGTGGTTCTGGCTCTGGTTCTCTCATGAAATTGCAGTTAAGCCCTTGGCTGGGGCTCAGTCTGAAGGCTTGACTGGGACTGGGGACCTGCTTCCAAGATTACTCACGGGGCAGTAGGCAGGAGGTTTCAGCTCCTTGGCCTGTGGGCATCTCTACAGGGCTGCCTGCCCATGCATGATATGGCTTTCCGCAGAGCCAGTGATAGCAGAGAGTGAAACCAGGATAGAAACTGTGGTCTTTTATAACCGAATCTCAGAAGGGACATACCATCCCTTCTGCAATATTCTATGGTCACACAAATCAACCCTGCTACATTGTGGGAAGGAGTTACACAAGGACATGAATACCAGGATGCAGGGAGCATCGGGGACCATCTTGAAGGCTGGATACCACACGAGGCTTAAAGAATTAAAACACTCTCAGTCTCATAAAACACTCTCACCTTTAGTGTCCAATCTGTATGTAATCGTATGTAACCTGAGACTAATTTCTTCTCAGTCCTATCAGTGTGATTTAGATAATTTTTGCTTTTGGAATTCAAGTTCCACAAACCATGTTCTGCCTTCCGTTTTCATCTCTAGAGCATTAATAACGAATGGAGACTGTGAAGAGAACCCAGCATGTGTGTTATCCTTTGACATCATAGAGTTCTTCTAAGACCAGTTTAAAGGCTACTTAATAATACACACACACACACACACACACACACACACACACAAACACACACACACACACAATCACCAGCTAGAATTTGAGGCTCCTGGAAAAAGCTTATGGCAATTAGGTTATTTAGTCCTAGTGTCCTTCATTCTCTCAAAAACTCTTTAAAAAAGATACTTTGAAAGTTGATATGATATTAGCAAAATACCCATGATCATTCTAACTGAATCTTTTTAAATGTCATATTACTCTTTTGTAATCCATGAAAGAACAAAGTTAATAGTAAAGTTGCAATAAAAATAAGATCCTCAAAATCTTTTGATTCCCCCAAGAATAACAGCAGGACAAAATTGTGAATGCTGGAGATGGAAGGAAATCCAAGAACAAGCCATAGACATTAAGTAGATGCAATCACCTTCTAACAAGGACTCACTGCCCACTCCCTCACTGAAAAGAACAACAGTGGTTCTTCACAGAAAACTTAGAGTAAAGGAAATGAAGTGATTTTGGTTCCATCACACTATAACAGATTCTTAGCAATACAATGTCTATTGAAATTGTCTAAACGTGCCTTTCTTACTCTTTCCAGTTGTGAAAAATGCATCAAGTTTTGTGAAGATTTTTATTTTCGCTCTAATTTTATCCATTACCAAAGACCACTCTTTATGATTAAAAATTATTTTTTTCCCCTCAGGAGAAAGATCCCCAACATTCCTTGAACGCCACACATCATGCTGATAAAATTCCTTTCCTGCAGTCGCTTGGTATGCCAAGGTAAAGGACGGCCCAGTGTTTCGTGCTGTTCTGTGGGATGATTGTCCCACAGAAATGTAATCAGTGGCAGGTTATTGGCAGAACACTTCGTCCTCCTTCCTTTCTACAGTTCATCTTAAACAAATTACCCAATCACCAAACCTTGTCCCAGTTTTCACTGGTTGAAAACCTTCTAAGAGAACTACTCTACTTACTCTTAGAAATACTGTTATCTTTCAGTATCATGACGGTAAAGCCTAGAAGCAGTGTCAGCGCTTATCAATTCTGATTTAAGGGGTAAAACTGCGTTTCCTGGCAGCCCTCCTTTAGGCGTTTCCTGCCTTCTTAACACGGATCTAGAGATTTCAGATCCTACTTGATTTTTAAGAGTGAAATCTCTGAATATTTTCTTCATATAAATCTTTTTGCCCTTTAATTTCTGACAGTATCACCCACCTGGTAGTCTGCCTTCTTGTTTTTTGTTGGTTTGTTTTTTTAAATCTAGGTATGATAGCTTATGAAATTTTTACTTGAATATCTTAATGCTATTGGTATCTTCATCACATTTAAAAATGTTTGTTTATAATACAGAAAGAGAAGATAAGTATTTAAAGAGGACAAAGATAGACACATTTGGCTTTTGTACAATGCTTAAACATTTGACAAATGGTAAAGGAAATCTGATTTACTCACTGTTTCTTTTCTTTTTTCTTTTTCTCTAGTCCTCCTAGAACTCCAGTAAAAGTTGTGCCTCAAATTAGAATAGAACTTGAGTCTGAAGACAATGATTATTTCTGGAGGAGCAAGGGAACAGAAACTACATTGTAACCTGTGTATCTTTCTTAAAACTAATAGTATTTGTTGTTAATGTTCTTGGTTTTTGTCTGGTCCTTTGTTTTTTTAATTTTTGATCTGTTTTAGTTTTTGGTCATTGGCCAAATGATACAGCACTCTCTCTGCTTCTCTTTTGCATAGGTAAACTTAAGACAATAGTGCACCATTCCTTAAAAACTTCTGAAGAATCCCCTTTTGTTCTTAGACTTTTAGATGTGTCCTCTGACAACCAAATTCCTCTGTTACTCAAGACATGCACAGACACTATCCTTTTCCTTTATTAAGCAGGGGGCAAAAGTATTAAGGATTTTGTAACGCCTTTTATTCAAATATTGAAGGAACTTACAACTTTAGCTTTGGAGCTGTGCTTATTGGCTTGTCTTTCTGTCTGGTCGAACAAACCTTGACCGCCAGGCAGTCTCTTCTTGCTTATAGAGCTCTCCAAGACTGGAAAAAGTGCTGCTATTCTAACTTGCTCTTGCTTGTGAACCCTAATCCTAGAGTTATCAAAGAAGAAAATCTAAAGGTACTTTACACCCAGTAGAGAAACTATTGCCATCATTGTAGCAAGTGATAGAATGTCCTTTTTTCCTATGCAACTTTTTTTTAACCCTTTAATGAACTTATCTGTTAAGTACATTTGAAGAATATTTTTCTTCCTAGATTTTGTTGTTTAAATTATGGGGCCTAACCTGCAACTTATTTTTTGTCAATTTTTTAAACTTTTTTTTAATTACTGTAAAGAAAATGAATTTTTTCCTGCAGCAGGAAACATAGTTTTGAGTAGTTCTACCTCTTATTTGTAGCTGCCAGGCTTTCTGTAAAAATTGTATTGTATATAATGTGATTTTTACACACATATAGACACACACACAGACACACATACACACAAGTACACAATCTTTAGGGTAAGCCAGAAGGCTAGATCAGATGAAAAACACCATGTTTCTAGGCATCCATTTTTCCCTTTCTTTAAAAGAAATTTATCTGTTTTATGAAGGAGATGAGGGAAAAAGGGACGAGCTCCTATGTAATGGGAATGACTGATGTTTTGCTAATAGCAGTATCCTGGCACAGATGCTGATTGTATTACCATCAATGTCCTATGCAGTATTGTTAGCCATTTTGTTTTTCACTTTGAAATACTCATGTGTTTGTGTATGTACTCTGTGTGTGGTGGGTGCACATATGTGCAAAGTTAGGGACAGAGTGATGGCAGGTGAAGGGCAAAGTTATCCAGCCTCTGTGTCAGTTTTCATAAAACCCAAACCACATATGAAAAATCCATATGAGGTCCAAGAGAATTACCATTATGTAAATAAGGGTAAATATATTTTATTACCCAGAGATCAGTCACCATCACTGGTACAATAGCCCATATTTACAATACAAATTCATAGAAATATCCATAGACCATTTACATATGTACGAAGTGTTTATGGAACTGCAGATAGATCTGCAAAAGTATATGTGTATATATTTTAACAATACACATTTTTTAGGATGAAAAGGAAATTATGCCCTGTGATTGGGATGTTTAGAATATATATGTATATGTGTACCTCAAAGTACAATATTGAAAATTAGAAAAAAGAAAATTAGATTTTTATTAACTAAATTTAGCATGTTATCTAAATATGTTTTTAATAGGCTACATTGGATACTGTGAATCTCCTTTAAAACCATTTAAATATTGAATCCATATTTTGGATTCATATAACCATAATTTTTTATATATCCTAACTAAAACAGATTGTTGGAGGAGTACTAGAAGCAGAATGAAACTATCAATACTCATTTTGGTTTCATAATAGACACATAATGATTACTACTCATTCTTATATCAGTTAAGTATAATTTTTTCCTCTTGAAATTTTGATTATAGAAAATTTATCCTGGATTAGCTGTTTACTCTTATTGCAGTTGATAATCTTAAAACTTTCAATTTTAATATACAGATTAGATGTAAGTGATCTGCAATTTTTTTTCATGCAAATGAAAGTAGCAAATGACATGTTATTTGTTAAAACCTCACGTGCCAAATTTTGGCATCACATTTGTATTTACAGTTATCTTTAAAATAATTATATTATCTAGTTTTTCATTACCCTAATATAAAACTGTATAAGATTTTCCTTTTTCTTTACCGATGGGAGCATCAATAAAATGCTTAAAAGCCATGCATAATATGTTCAGCCTAACCTACAAACTTGTTATTAATGACATTTTTGTTCACTTTTATAAAATCTCTAGATATAATAATTTATTTTTCTGATTATGAATCAAGTACAGGAGGATTCATGCCCCTCTCCATCCCTTTCAGAGAACTGTTAATGCAACTTAACTCAGTATTTCAGCCTGTGAGTAGATCTAAAAGCTATCTGCACCTCCATTTTATGATTCATATTTTGTGACAGAAGGTTGATACTCATAATATGAATTAAGAATAGTGCCTTATGTTTGCTAAAACGAACAGCATTAAACCATTTTTAATATTTTGGAACCTAGGGAAGTATTTTAAAAAATCATTACCTTCAGAGGAACAGAAGTAGTTACTAAGCAAACAAACAAAAAAAACCTGAGGCCCATACAGAGCCACCAAATTATCTGTATTTTAACTGAATTTACTCATTATCTAAGAACTAACCAGATTGGGTGGTTTTGTTTTTATGTAAACTGGACACACAGAATACACTGGTAAATTTTTTACAAAGTGTTTCTTCCTGATGTGAATATGGAGAAAAAAGATTTAAATTGTTAGAAGTAAAGGATGAAGTGTACACTCAGAATTGAAGTCAAGTGGTTGTACAGACTTACTGTTGGAAGAAAAATCATTAGGCCAAGAGTCTGCCTATGGTAGCCTAAAGCTCTCTGGTTTTTCATTTGAAAGGAAAGGCACTGTTTTCTTTGATAAAAGTCACTTTTCTCTACAATGTAAAACTAGGACTTGATACCCTAATTATTTTGTGTGCCACAAAGAGTAGTGTTCCTGACTCTTCTGTCAGTCAAGCAGTGGAGCGGGATGGGGAAATGGAGGCTTAAAGAAGTAGGAAAAAAACCTTCTGTAGCCCCCCACCTCAAAAGAATGGGGGAGGGGGAGTAAATCGCTGCCTTCAGTAATACAGTTTGTGTACATTTTATGCACATGTACCAGCACACACGGAGTAAATCTTTTATCAGCTGTGTATTGGTGTTTAATACAGAAAACGATTGTCTTCCCAGCTCTGATTATTTTATTTTTTTAAACTATGTTAAAGTACTTGAATTGTAATGACTGCTGACTATCTTAAAAAAACAAAACAAAGCTATTTGAATTGTATGACAGAGGATGACATTGTTCAGGGATGGGACAAAGCTTTCTTCAATCCTTTTCATACCACTTAATGATGTTGGTGCAGGAACTTGAGATTTTCTTATTTATTCCATGATATTTCACATCTGCTCTTCACAGCATAAGCATGAAGCCCAGTGGCACCAAGTGACTGAATAAAATCAAATGATGTTTATGGCACTTGACTATCTCAAGGGCCCTGGGAGTTTTCAGATGATGATTTCATTGCAGCCTGAAATAAAGTTTTGTGCTATATGTGAGCCAGTCAAGTTGTGTTTTGACCAGATATTTGGCTATGTCCTATTTCTTGGCTCATTTCTTTGTGTTCTATAGGTACATATAAAAATCCTGAATTCTATTTCCTAGAAAATATTGCAACTCAGGGCTAATGTCATCCAGTGAAACATTTAGAGCCAGAAGTAACTTTGTCCCATTCCTGCAATGTGAAAAGAGTGAATAGTTGCCTCTTTTTAGCCATTTTTATGGCTGGTACATACTCGTACACATTACTTTTCAGAATCAGTACGCACTTTCAGATATTCTTATTTTTATTCTCTTAAATCTTTATTAACTTTGGAGAAATGATGCATCTTTTTATTTTAAATGAAGTAGATCAACATGGTGGAACAAAATGATAAAGAACAGAAAACATTTCAATATATTACTAATAATTTTTTTCCAATATAAAACATAAAATTCCTATAACATAGTATTTTACAGTTTTATGAAGCTTTCTATTGTGACTTTTATGGAATTAAGAGATGAAGAAGATGAGATATTTTAGCATTTATATTTTTCAAAATTAAATGTATACTTAAAATAAAGTAACTTTATGCATTTATGAGTGTCAAGTGCATCTGTTCGAGTCTTGAAATCGTTAAGTCTCTATTTTACTCCTTTGGGGCTGTGGGGAATACAAAGATGAGTAAGTTGGTGTCCCTGACCCCATATTGCTTTTAATCGCTGCAGGCAGGAGGATAAAATAAATGTTCAAACTGTATAAAAAAAGAGATTGTAAGAATTATGTATTAAAGTATTAATGAAATGCTATTATGCAAGAGTTCAAAGCAAGAAAAATTATGTCCAACTAAGAGCAATAGAATGGTTTTACTGAGAAAGTAATATTGTTATTCTTCTTTTATAAAGTTAGTAAAATATAAAATGCCATTTTCTTGAATACATATTGATATTGTTAACCTAAAAATAAAAGGCCAAAGTGAGAGGCAACGATCATTTATTTGAGATCCAAAAGCATAGCTAGTCAGGAAGCACTGATTTAGGCAGAAACCCAAATAGTGTTCTGATTAGGGGGTGAAGGTAAGAAGTATTTATGAGAAAGGGAAGGGGAATAATTGCATGAATAGAAGGAAGGAATTGCTACAGGTGCAGATAAGCTAACATAGTGATGCTGATTCTAAAGAATGTCTTTAATTTTCAGTCTGGTAGTCATAATGTCTGCTTTCCTGTTATCTTTGCAAACAGTTGTTTGGAATACAATGCTGCTTTAGGCCCAGTTCAAAGGTTATTTTGCCCAGTTTTAACATTATAAAGGTTTGAGGAGTAAAACGTGCAAACCAGTTCCTTTGGGATGGCAGCTCAGACTCCATTTTGAAGTGGCTCGTTTATACTATTTTTCACAATATATATTGATGTATATAGTTATTCAGAAGCAAAAAAAAAACCTGCTAAGCATAAGCACTTATTAAAAAATAGGTATTCAAGGGTGGGGGTATTCGGGGTGGGTGCAAAAGATGAAGGGATTAAGAAGTGCAAATTGGCAGCTACAAAATAGTCATAGGGATGTAAAGTGCAGACTAGGGATTGTAGCCATAGTTATTACAATATTATCGGTAGGGTCACTTCGTAAGTTGTATAATTGTCTAACCACTATACTGTACACATGAAACTAATATAATATTGAATGTTAACTGTAATTGAAAAAAAACCACAGATTACACATTTTTAAAGAAGTATCAAATGAATATATCTTGGAACAGTACACCACTGTAGATATATGACATGCATTTCCTGCTGACCCTATCCAGGCTTGCATGTGATATTTACAACTCTCTAGGAAATTTCAATTCATCCCCAAGTTATAATTAGTGGTGGTGGGGTTTAGGGGGCACAAATAGAAGGATGAGAAAGAACAACTGGTAGCAGTAAACAGTTACATTGAAAAAAAAAAAAAAGATAGTAAGGCAGGAACATTGACCAAAATAATCTTCCAATCTGGAAACTTAGAGGCAATTGCTCTGAGCATCTTGATGGTGGTGGAGGTGATAATGGGGATAGGAGATAGGGTTTGGATTGTATCGCTGAGTTGGAAGAAACAGCAGAAGACATACTCAGAATAGATCATAATATGGAAGAATTTGATTAATTTTTCCATGTACCCTCAGAGAATTAATTAAGTATTGCCATGCATAACAATAACTGAGTTAAGAAATTAGGGTCAAATTCTATGTAGCATGTTATGAAAAGGAAATGTGCACTTCAGCATTTCTTCCTTATGCTACCTGACCTACCTTACCTACCTAGGACAAGGAAGTAAGACAGAACCCTCTGAACTAGCAAACCATCTGTCTCAAGGTCTGGGCATCCCAGCTTGAGCATCATAGTTCTCAGAGGAGCTCAAATTCTCACTCAGAATCTATTCAAAATGCTTGAATTTGTTATTCTTGGCCATATATGGATTTCTTAAAATGTAGGAGATGAGAAACAACAGAGAAAGTTACTAACAGGAAAGCTGAGTTAGTGAGAATTAGCTTAGTCCTGGTAAGATAGAAGATATAAAAAAATTTATAAAACACTTAAGAAGTAAAGAATCAGGCTATTTAGTACAGAGGCAAGGACACCACAATAGGTCTTAAAGGTAAAATGTATTGATTTTATATTGATTGAAATGTATTGATTAAATGATTAAATTGATCAAATGTCTCAAAGGCAAACAGTATTGTAGTTAATGTTCAAAATAATGACATGGGGCCACCGGAAAATGTTAAACTGTGTTCTGTTTTTCACGGATTTCTAAGTGTTGGATGGGGTAGTTTCTGAAGAACCAAAAATAAGACATGATTCCTAAGTTCAAATAACTTAGTCAAGTGGGAAAGAAGTCCATGTGGACTAAACAGTGAAATAAAAACTTGTAAATGCTGCACTAGAGGTATGTGTTAGGTGCAGTGAAGACCCACAGGAGGAAGTTATCAATTCCTTTTGAGAATAAGAGGCCAAATTGTCAGGGAAAGTTTCTAAGGCTGTCTGTTGGATTGGGTGAAAAAATGTTTGCCAGACAAACGGTGTCTGGAGTGGAATTAAGAAAATGGATAAAGATGTTCCAAATTTGGGAGGCATGAAACAGAATGGTGCAGGATAGAGAACTGTCGTGCATGTGTTCAGTCATTAATTCAATTCAGTAATTATTGGACACCTACTATGTCCCAAACTCTTTTTTTGGGTCAAAACAGTGAACAAATACACACAGGTTCACAAATGGACGGTTGACAAGAGAGGGAGGTGACGGGATGGGTGAAAATGGTGAAGCGGGGGAATAAGACGCATAGACTTCCAGTTATAAAATAAGTAAGTCATGGGGATGTAATGCATAGCACAGGGAATATAGTCAATAGTGTTTTAATAACTTTGTACACATGATTACTAGATTTATTGCAGTCATCACTGTGTAAGGTATATCAATGTTGAATAACTATGTTGTATACCTAAAACTCCTATAATATTGTATGTCAACTATACTTTAATTTTAAAAATTAGAAATACTTCCTGCCCTAATGAAGTATATGACCTAGAAGAGGAGATACACAATAAGCAAATAAAAAATAAATAGAAATAACAGAATTATGAATTATGATTAGGGCTGTGAAGGAAGAAGATGGGGTAATACAAGAATGCGATGGACGTAATGGAGATTGGGTGGACAGGGAAGGCCTCCCTGGGAAGTATTATAATAGTTGAGTGGAGACTGGAAGCGTGTATGGAGGAAGCTGGGTGGACAGGGAAGATTGGCCTAGGCAGAGGAAACAGCCCTACAGTGAAGGCAGAACGGGCTACAGGATAGGGAGATTGTTAAAAGTTCATGGGTCAGGGCATCTCTGTGCAAACACAGTGCCAATGTACTAGGAATAACTGACCAAACTTGCTAGCTGGTATGAAGTAGTGGTCTGAGCATAGGCCTGAACGAGTCTTTTCAGAGATGAACACTTTCTGAGAACAGGAGGTTCAGGAAGTGTCTTCAGGAGGCAGTGGACCTCTCAGCAGTGTTTGACACCAGGGACCCTTCCTGCAGCTCACAGTGTTTGGACTTACATTAAAGGGCAGTGGCTATCTAGAAAGGGTTTTCAGAAGGGAAACAATTCATCCTGTTTTCCCAGAATCAGACTAGATTGGAGTGGCTTTACTAGAGGCAACTCCAATGGAAACCATTGCAATATCCAAATGAGGGATGACAGTTGGACTGGTCCAGAGCTGGGCATTGCCAGGTGGGTGCATTGGAAGGACAATGGTGCCTCTGGACCCTTCAGGTTCCCAGATTTTCTCATGTATTTTTGCTTGAATCTTAGAATTTTCCATGCCTTTTTTTCTTCCTCTAACAATTAGATATTAATGTTTCTTAAGTAGTTTCTTTCTTTCTGCTCCTTCTCAGATGCTTTTGTAAGCTCCTCTTCCTCTTCTTATTAGTATTAATATTAGTATTCTTCAGAATTCTGCCTGAGGCCTGATTCTTACTTTTCATGTTCTGTCAGGGCAATCAGACCCATTCCCCTAGTGTCAAATAGCATCTATACACTAATAACTACCAAATCTGTATTTTCAGCCCAGATCTCTCTCCTGAACTTCTGAGTTACATATGTAACTGACTCCAGAATATTTGGCCCTAAATAATACATGTCATATCCAAGTTGAACTCATCCACCCATCCCACTAAAACACTCTCTCATGTTCCCTGTGTTAACACATGATGTCATCAGCCACATACATAGTTGCTTAAGTCAGACCTGAATGTCATCCTTAATTCTCACATCTTATTTTATTCATTCAATGAATCACTAGGTCTAGTCTATCTCCTAGTAAATCTAAATAATTAACTTTTCATAAATATCTTCATCTAGATGTCCTTCACCTACTACCTGGATTGCTGAACTAGCTTCCTATTGGTGCCTATACCCCCAGATTTGCCTGTTGAAAAATATATACTCCCTACCCGGTCTTCAGGATTATTTTTTTAAAAAACGTAAAACTGACTTCTGTGCAAACTGGTGAACCAAAACTTTTTTCCAAGATTCCATTAAAATGATTGTATAGGAATAAAAAAAATTGTGGAAGATGGCACAGGTAGACCAGAAACTCCCACAAAATCTAATGATGAAAGTAAATGCAAGTTTGGATGAGTAAGCTGCAGCCCAAAACACATGTGAAGGAGGATGCAATTAAGGCCATAGGTAACATGGCCAGGAGAAACTCAGTAATTCTCAGACTCAGATACTGCAGGTAGGACCAAGGATGGGAACAGAAAGTATGGCTGGCTGAGGGTGGATATAGAAAGTTGTGTGTGCATATACAGCCCCCTTTCACCTCTGCTTGTCAATTAGCCTAATGCCAAGGTCTTATCCTTAGGTTAAAAAAAAAAAATCAGAGTTTTTCTCTAAGATAATTAAACAAATTGCCTTGGGAGCAATCAGTAATCCTGTTTTGTTGTTGTTGTTGTTTGTTTTAAACTCTCCTCATCTAACATTAATGAATAATTGTCTTTCTGTACAGGAAGAGGCAAGGCCTTGAAGTCAACAAGACGCGCCCACAGACATAAAGCTCCCTGTCAGATATTTT